GTTTTTCAGTCTGGGTTAAAAAAAATTATTGACTTCGGGTACAAATCCCTGCCCCACCCCAGAGAATCAAATGGTTGCTTCCTTGGGAACAATAGAGATTGAAGATGTTGAGAATGAAGATCAGGTAATAATTTTATGTTCTGCGGCGACGTTAAAGGAACACCAATCAGTCAATCGATCTTTATGACTATGGCTTCAGTTGTGTAATATTCCTTGTTGTAAAAGTTCTTTTTCTGCTTTGTGTAGACTTATTAAGACTTGGAATAGATCTACGATGACTAATAAACGGTCGTGTATGGTTTGGCAATTTTACATGCCTACCGATAATAAAATTGACAATGGAAATGGGGAATATGTCAAAGAGACAACAACCCGACCAAAGAGCAGACAACAGCCGATGTCCAGGTATGATACGATGCTACCGGACATAGAAAAAACTGTCCTTTTTTCATGGAAAATTAAACTGTTACAGTATATTAAAGAATATAAAACTAGCTCTCTTTTCTGTAAATACAAATAAAAAGCTGACATGGGTGAGATTAAAGCTAGAAATCCCAATCTCCCATTTCACTTTAAAAGACCATATATAGATATAAGAAGATGTGGTATGAGTGCCAATGAGACATTTCTCCATCCAAGTCACAAATTGTAAAAGAAAAACCATTATAGGTCAAAGTACGATCTTCAACACGGAGCCTTGGCTCACACCGAACAGCAAGCTACAAATGGGCCCCAAAATGACCAGTGCAAAACTATTCAAACGGGAAAACTATGCAACGGTATAATCTATATAATAAACAAGAAACGAGAACACTTATGAACCACATCAACAAACGGCAACTACTGAACATCAGGTTCCTGACTTAAAACAGGTGCAAACAAATGCAGCGGGTTTAAACGTTTTAATAGGTACCAAATTCACACTTATCCGAAACAATAATGTAACATATGACCTTTAATATTGAAGGGCTAAACTTGCATTGAGCCGTGTTAAGGCCCTAAAATAGAAAATAAAGAGATGTGCATAGGACAAAATCGCACACAATACATAGAAAAAATACAAATTATCAATGAACAGGGCTTTTATTCCTGTTCTTGATCTTGAAAGTAGCTGGAGGGTCTTCAACGAGGAAAAGAACCATTCATACCCTGAAAACAACAGTCACACACTTGGCTATGTGGATTACAATGTTTTGCTTTATCCTACACCCTGGATTTTTTTTTACAGAAGACCTCAGGTACCCAGCTTCCCTTTGCAACTAGTGCGGACAAAAGCAATGCCGTAGATTTTTTTTTATTAACTTTTCGGTAATGGTGTGGTAGGGTTGGTAGCTGAGGTCTACTTGAGAAAAAATCCAGAGTGATGTTCGACTTAGTAAATTATGAAAGCTCATGTCTTAATTGATAGGCATAGAAATAAAAAGAAAACGTATGAAAACCAATAACATTCTTCCTGAGACAAAATAACGTTAGTTTAGGCAACTAGTATGATGGTCTGGATGCGTATTTCTTCATTTCTGTATTCTTTGATATTCTATTCCATTTTTCTCTATTCTTTAATCAGTGTTTCGGGCCATTTTTCTCTTTTCTTTATCATGTTTATTTCTTTATACTTTTTGCCAATTATTCTATTCTTTTTTATATTTTAACACCTCATTATTCTATTTTGTTTTATTTCTTGGTCCATTGTCTCTTATTATATATTTATATTTTTTGCCCACTATTCTCTATTCCGTAAACCCCCATCCACACCCAGGCTCTTGTTAAGGTCACCATATAGCTTTCAAAAATAAGCAAAACTAATACCGAGTAGGCTCCGAATGGCAAAATGATTGAATGCTAATCCCGGTTTGAATTGTGAAATTGCGGAAATTTGTTTTTCAATCAATTGATCAAGCAAAACACATTATCGTCCTGAATGTTCGTATAATGGACCTTGGTCATGAATTCTAATCATCTGAGATCAACCTTTCTAAATTTAAAAGTAAAGATCACGCACCCTTATTGTTCAGATTGATAAAGTCATTTGCATCCGTCGACATTATCTTCGGTTAAAGATCTGATAACCACAGTGACTGTGCATGTATACTTTAACGACCGGGGTAGTTTTCTTATAAGTTTTTAAAAGTAGTAACCTCCCTTGTTAATGTGATGTTGTAATCAATCTATTTATTTGTACCATCTTTGTATAATATTATATTGTACAATTTCAATTTATGATTCGTTTAATATTTAAATATAATAATTTATTTTTTATTAAATATATAAACAAGGTAATTTGAAAGGCTTTGATTCATTTATCACCGTAGTTCAATTCATAAGTCAGGCGGTCTATTTTGTCTACATTATGTTGAAAGAACACCGGGGTGTTTACATTGGCATTATTTACTATCAATGACTGTGAAACAAGAAAGGAAAACATTGTACATTATAAAACGAGAAATAATTATAAAATTAAATACAAAATTCTTGTTTAGTTAAATCAAAAACGAAAAACGGAAACACTTTTGATTTTCATTTTGGTTTTAGAGAAATCAAAAACAAAAAATGAAAACACTTTCGTTTTCCGTTTTGGTTTTAGATAAAATCAAAAACGAAAAATGAAAACACTTTTGTTTTTCGTTTTGGTTTTTGAGAAATCAAAAACGAAAAATGAAAACACTCTCGTTTTTTGTTTTTGATATTTCAAAATGAAAAACGAATGGACGCAAATATACACGGACCTTATTACCGTTCATATTTCATTTATTTAAAGTAAGTTCCTTTTGGTAAATTTCGGCAGTATATTTAAAAAAAATCTTGATTATTTAACGAAAAAATATCATGAAGATAACGGTAGATTTTGTTGAATTTATCATTTAAATGCAATTTAGACCGGTCTTTACTGTGTTTGGTCATTAATTGTGATTCATAACAGTACAAGAACAAGTCTGCTTTTAAAGGGGCGCAATTGGTGCCCATTGGAATACCTACAACCTGTCTATAAACTTTATTGACGAAACGTACATAAATATTATCAAGAACAAAAATTAACAGCTTCAAGCATTTCATCACACCTCCAGTAAGTATATCTAGCATATTTACCTTTCTCATTAGAGAGGAAGGCTTTAGATGAGTTGCAGCAAATATATTTGCATTCGGACTTACCAAAAGACTATTTAATTAAATAGGAAAACTTTTGTTTGATAAGATTGTGTGGAAGTGTAGTGTAAAGAGTTGAAAAGTCAAAACTGTCAACAGAATAAAAAGGACCATCAAAAGCACTTAATTTATCTAAAACATCCAAAGAATATTTTACACTTCAAAAAAAGTTAATTCCACTATTTTTATATATCTTATTACACAAGTTAATGATAAGTTCTTTGATAGTTGTTGAGGAACTAGTTAAAAGCAATGTAGAACACTTACTAGAGGCCGAGATGAAACGATATTTTACTGTTTTTTTGCGTAGTTTAGGTAACCAATACATAGTAGGGACCTTTAAATATTCAGAAGAGGCCTGAAGCTGTGCTGTGATTATTATATGTTTGTTTACTGTATGACTCTCTGTTGAGCGAAATAACTTGAATGTAGATGAGTTTAAAATTTCATTCTTAAGACCGTCCGTGTATTATTGACATGTAATTAAAAATTAAACTTCTGCTGGGTTTTTTTGTATGTATACGAAATAAAAGGTGGTTCTGTGTTATCAAAATAGGGAGGTATAAAGTTTTGAATGGTAGAATCATTAAATATACTCGATAAGTTGATAAAATCAATACCTCCATTAATATATTTAATTTTCAGAAAGTGCCGTGTATGATCTTCAGGTTTATCGATAAGCGGGAACAGCCTATGGTGGCAAAAAGCTGTAATTATACTCGAATATTCATAGAGTGGGCTGAAGAACGAGATTATATCACACTCCTTGAAAATATCATGTAATTTACTAATTGGTATTTGTTCCAATTTACAAAGTAATTGATGCCTACCATTGTTTTTAAGTATAGATAGGAGATCATCAAGTGTATAATTTATACGATGTTTAAATAGTTGATTTCGATTGATACGTTTGCCATGAGACCTATTATTACAAATTCTTATAGGTTTTCAGAAAATTAAAGTCTTTATACACAAAATCATTTTTCCGTTTCCTGCAGTCAATTGTATGTAACGTTTAATCGCAATTAACTCATAACTATTTCACTGAATTTTTAGTTTTTATATAAAAATAAGAAGATGTGGCAATGACTCTCCATAAGAGACCAAATGACATAAAAAATAATAGCTATATACCACATAGTCAGCTATAAAAGGTCCCAAAATGACAAATGTTAAACAGTTCACACTAGAAAACTAACAGCCTGATTTATGTACAAATATGATATATAGAAACAAATGACAACAACTGAATTACAGGCTCCTGAATTGGGATATATTTTAATGACATATTATATTTCCATTTCGGAAATAATTGCCCCCATTTAATAAAGGGTACATGCAACTGATTACGCAAATTGATCAACAAATATATCTGATAAATAAAGTTAAAGATTGGTTATTATTGTAATTCAATGTAATTATTATATGAAAGGTATTTCTCAAAATATTGATCACAACTTTTGACAAAACACTTATGGCTAATTTGTTTTACACTTTTTCATTTTTAACGAACTTAAAATAAATTAAACAAAGACGTCAATCAACTATCTAGTTAATGTTTCTAGAATACAATCTTTTATATATTCAAAATTTAAAATTAAAATCATGCTCTTGACTCCTTTCCTTTTGTGATTTACAGTAATATTAAGAGTGTCATCCAATTTTCTCTATCATCCCCATCATTTCTCACTTTAAAACACTTGATGCAGTTAACCTTTAAATGAATACCGTATTCATTCGTATTTAAATCGGATAGTCATAGAAACGTTCTTAAAAAAGGTTTATATAATAAATATTTAAACTTTTGGCAACATTTCACGATTTTATTATCATTTGTGATGCAAAAATATTAAACTTACCGATAACAGTCGAAAAATATTGTACCACTAGAAAACATGCCAACAAGCACATCTTCTTTCACTTTTAAAACTCATTATATCTAAATTCAAACTAAGTATCCTATTTTATGATCAATTAGGCATGTATGCATATAAATATTACATACGACTACGTCAGAACAATAAATTGTACCCATACAATTTGTAAAATGAAGTATTAGATATTAATAGTTATGCTAATGTGACGTCATTAAAGATATCATTTTCATTTTCAGTTGATATATTGTTCTTTACAGATGTTTAAATAATTTATAGCAGAAATGTCACTAGTGACATAATTTTTAGTACAGAATATGAGTAGTAGGCCTATCTAACTCGATATTTTATTCACATCAACATAACTGTTCAAGATATAATACCGTAAAATATCCCTCGTGTATGTTAATGCAACAGTAGTTTACAGATGTTTAAACAACTCATAAATTGTTAAGCTGTTCTCTACGTTTTGGTAGTTGTTTTTGCGAACAGTTATATTTTAACAATTATTTTAAAGTTTGAATGTTAAAAATAATAATAGAACCTCATCTTTTTTTTTTTTTTTTGTCGGATGAAAATTACTAGAATGTCAGCATTACAATTATTGCACGCGCTCTGTCCTGATTTTCATTAAAACCATTTAAATTTGAGTCTTTTTTTTTATATTTTGGCAACCACACTTGCCAAACAAAAACCTGACACGAGGTGGATAATTCATTTTAATACATCAATAATAAACTCCTGTGCTTCGATTTTACTAGGATAATGAAGCCCTTCATTCTAAAAATGTACGCACGGTCAATGCTTTTACAACCCTATGAAATTACTGAAAGAAGCATTCAATACTTGTAATTACATTTTTTCGCTATGATAATGAAAAACGATTACTATCAATTTTTTCTTTTATTTACCTGTGCACTTTATTGTGGAAAAATGTGTCATCATGTATGTTACAATTCATGAAATGCATTTTGAAATGAAGAATGACGCGAGGATTAATCGTTATGATAAAATGTTAACCTTGTCAAATTGTTACTTGTTTACACTGACAATTTAAATAGTAATAGTTTTACTGCACAACAAATTGGTGTCTCTTCAGTGACGTTAGCTTTGTTAAACACACGGAACATTGTAGCAACATTACCTTAATCATCGAGGTACGTTTCAATTTTCCAATGGAGAAAAACCGAAGTATCTATAAAAAACAAACTTGCGAACTTTATATAAACACTTATATTTCAATTTTGCCGCTACAGACTTCCAAGAAAGGGTTTAGTTTTAAATTACAAAACTTTTCTCGCTTCCTGCACTTAGCTATGAATGACACTCTAGTCAGAAATTTGTATTAGTAAAAAATTTTCAATGGTATAAAGCAGAGGGGTAAATGCTTATGTCGTTTTAGAAAACACCACGGATTACGCAACAGGTCAACTAATTATACAGAAGCTGGAACTTTGGCCATGCTGTCCCTCATATATACGTAAAGTAAATGTAACAGATTAATAATATATAAGTATGGCGTAACCAACGCGTTTTAGTGCCAAGCGAACTGGAAATGCATTAAAGGAAATTTTAGTTATAAAACTTTTGATATAGATTATATCCTAATGAATATTTAATTAAACATCAATCAAAATAAAATTAAAAATTGTATTCTGATAATGTCAAAAATAATGTGTAACGGAATTATTAATTTAGATTTAATCGTAAAAATTAATAAAAGACATAGAACAAATTGATAGGAATAACTTACATTTATCTATTAACACAAATTTATATTATTTTAGTTGTGTATTCCAACATGTAGATAGATTACTTTCGACACAGTTATGTTTTCTAAAACACTGGGATTGCTTTCAGTGGCAAGAGTGGACACATCAATTGTTTTCAAACTTGGACCAGACCCTTTTGGGGTTACTTTCGAAATAATTATATGTGCTCAAAATGCTAATTTCAAAAGGAGAATCAAAGTGTTTTTTCAAGAAAGGCAAAGCTATTAGAAAACAAAATTGTTTCCGTGTTTTTTACAAAATACACTTCCTGTTAGCAAAATAGATAATATGCATCTTTATTTTCTTTGTATGCTACGAGGCAAATTCGTGAATTGATCATGTTGATAACTAGACACTGTTTTAATAAAACAACTGCGAGACATTAAAAGAAGTCAGGATAAATTTCCGCAATTCCACATTGTTTTATTGTGTTCGTTAAAAGTTCAGTTCGTTCCGCTGGTTTGGTACTGTACATTATGTGTTGTCATAAAAAAAATCAAATATTAAGTTATTGTGATAATAACTGATAAGTTATTATGATTGTAATTTGGGTTTCATCATTAATGCTACAACACAAGTCCTTATAGGTTTTCAAAAACATAAAGTCTTTATACACAAAATTATGTGTTCTATTAATCATGCATATACAGTCACGCAAATCCACATTCAGTCAAATGTCACATTCGTGAATAGTACACAATCGTTAAATTTACAGGTTCAACGACTATCCTAGTATCTAAAGATCTAAGACTTCGTTGACATGCCCCTAGTAAGTTGAGACACAGACATATCGTATCGGGTAACAATTCGTGATGTCGACTGTAAAACTTAAGTGTCGCTTTCCGTCGTTCTTCTCAAAAACTCTGTTTTCGAAGATTTAGTGAAAGGACCACACCCCTGCTTGTTATACTATTAATATGTAAGTGGTATTATTCACTTATTCTTGCAGTGAACAAAATTATTTATATTTTTCTTCTTGAATTAAGTTATATAAGGATCAAAAGTACTGTTTACTGATAGTGATTTAAAACATTTCAACAATTGTTGACATGGAACCGGTTTTGTTTTCACTTAATTCCTTTTTGAATAAAATCTGAATAATTGTCTTTCTTGCATATATGTTACATGATTTGGTACTTATGATTTTAATTAATAGTAAAACAACTTTTAAAACACTCATCAAAGATACAGAGCTTATGATTGTGTATGCCAAATACATGATTTGTCTACATTAAAATCAAATACGAAGAGGTGGAGTGCCACCTATGGATAAGGCAATTTATATTTTATCTTTGAATAGAATATACGCAGAGAAATACCTCTTGTCGTATGGTCTTAAAAGTTATTCAATTACGTTTTACTGAAACTGCCATTCATTCTTCTATAACTTACTGTACGATATTGATTTTGATCATCGTTGAAGTCCGTACAGTAATCTATAGACGTAAGAAGATGTGGTATGCGTGCCAATGAGACAACTCTCCATCCAAGTCACAATTTGTAAAAGGAAACCATTAGTTGTTTAAATCCTCGTACTTCGGTTTCTGGCGAATATGTGTCTCTTCAACAATCATTCCAAATCTCCTTATTTTTATATTGAAATGATTAAATTATACTTTATAGAGTGGTACAAACACCAAACCAGCAGATGTTCGGTAAATCCATTCACTCCATTAAAACATGTAGTTTACCTACTAGTATTTTTATTTCAGCCTATGTGTTATCTTTTAAATACTTGAGCAAACATTAAGAAATTAAGTGCGAGAGTTCGTTTACTATGTAGACAAAAAAACACTTCATGAAGGCAGAGTAACGTAATTAAAACATCAACGGATGATTTCGAAAATGTATAGGACTGAAATGGACTATCATTGTAACTTGAAAATATCCAATATATGTGCTGTCTTTTTATTTCCTTGTTTTAGTTAGTTATCATCCTGCTAGTAGCCGCACTTTGAAGGTTTGTGTGTGTGTGATTTACTTTAAAAAAACATATGCTCTATATAGGTCAAAAACCACTAACTGGTTTAACCTTACTTTATGTTGTGACTGTTCCAAGTCAGGCTATCTGGATTATTTGTCTCGTTAGGAACATTATTCAATCTGAAGCGATCATTTGCAATAGTATGTTTACTTCAGTTCAAAAACCCTTTAAAAAAAATATTTGAGGTATCCATAGTTACCTTGTGTAATGCAGAATGTCTACTTTTATTCAAGGTGCCCCCTTTTTCTTAATGTCAACCTCAATTTCCACCCTTCACCCAACTTGATCCAGTTTGCAGAATTATCCAAATTGAGTTTTTTTCCCGTTCTCGTCCTGTTTATACATAAGCTATTTGACACTAACTAATATATAATTAAAAGAATAAAGATGAGTAAGCTTTGTTCCCTGGTGTAGTTGTATAGTATGTTATTCAAAATATGCACATCGCACTTCAAAAGAATTTTATATGAATTATAAAATCAATAACACAAAATTAAATAATTCCGTTATGAGGGTCTGGATGGGGGTTTACAGAATAGAGAAAAAAGGGCAAAGTTAAGGGCAAACAAAATAAAAATAGGAAAATAGGGAAAAAAAGAATAGAGAGTAATGAGGTGCTAATTACAAATAATAGAGAATATTGATCAAAGTAGATGAAGAGTAGGGCAAATCGTCTATAAAGTTATAGAATAAAAATGGGAGGACCTCATCCTACTCATCCTAACTTTCCGTTATGTTATATGGTGTTACTGGATATCATGTCAAAGTGGAACATATATGGCTTTTAAATGTTAAGTTTGCATTAAGCGTTTCATATGTTGGTTAATCCATAAAAGCGCCGCGGTCATCAATATATACATTATTTGATATAATGAATATTTTAAGCGGGAGCAGACGGAACAAAACAAAATCCTGCTTTGAAAGAATGTAACAATTACTAAAAATCATAGTGCATATACTTTTCAACATAGCATCTATTTATATGCAAAACAATAACAAAATTTAAAGAGTTTAATTTTTTTTAAGTACTTAATTAGAAAAAGTGCAATGTCACAAGAAAATTTTGTAGTTTGTCCTTTCGGGTCACCATTCGTATTTTTATCCCGCTGAAAAATTCTATCCTCTCTTTTGTGCATTGAAACACTCAAAGGTATTTTAAAAGAATAAAACAAATGTTCAAATTTTGAAATTGAATATTGAAAACATGCTACTTGTCTTTTTCTCTAGCGATGAGTAATACGTCCTACACATGTCAATTATCAAATTGATTTTTTTTTATTAAATCCGGTTTTGATTCATAAATAAT